GGTGGTTATGCCTTTGGCAATTTGTCCTCTGGACAGATCTTGATGACATACACACTGAGTGTGGGGATATACTAGTGTCATCATATTTCTCAGTTATGGAATTGTCTGATGATTTATCTTTTCATGCCATTGTGGAATCAAAACCTGCACACTGCTGGATCCCAAGGCTTGAATGTCTGTGACTTTTCTGTCATTCAGTTTTTGGCCTTTGCCTACTCTGAAATTTGACCGAAATTGATGGATAAAGTGCAACTTGATATCATGCACTTTCATGACCAAAAGGATCTTGATCGTGACAAAGGCCTTTCATACTTATTGGCTTTCATACTTATTGGCTTTCATACTAATTGGCTTTCATACTTATTGGCTTTCATACTTATTGGCTTTAATACTTATTGGCTTTCATACTTATTGGCTTTCATACTTATTGGCTTTCATACTTATTGGCTTTCATACTTATTGGCTTTCATACTTATTGTCTTTCATACTTATTGGCTTTAATACTTATTGGCTTTCATACTTATTGGCTTTCATACTTATTGGCTTTCATATTTATTGGCTTTTCAAACTTATTGGTTTTCATACTTATTGGCTTTCATACTTATTGGCTTTTCATACCTATTGGCTTTCATACTTATTGGCTTTCATACTTATTGGCTTTAATACTTATTGGCTTTCATACTTATTGGCTTTCATACTTATTGGCTTTTCATACTTATTGGCTTTCATACTTATTGGCTTTCATACTTATTGGCTTTAATACTTATTGGCTTTCATACTTATTGGCTTTCATACTTATTGGCTTTTCATACTTATTGGCTTTCATACTTATTGGCTTTCATACTTATTGGCTTTCATACTTATTGGCTTTCATACTTATTGGCTTTCATACTTATTGGCTAACTTGGACTGCCATGAGCCCAAAACACCCACACCTATTCCCATGTGGAATCTTTCTTGGATTCTGACTTGGCTAAGTTCAAACAAATTTTAGCTCTTAGCCAGGATCTTGTTGAAGCTTTTTTTCACACAAGCTTCGGCTTGCAGAATCGATGTTACTTGTTGAAGCTTCTTTTCACACAAGCTTCGGCTTGCAGAATCAGTGAGTTACTTGCCCAATTAATTGACCCAGCATACTGTTAGTTTTGATCAGTTGGCTTGGTAGTCGTTATGACACAACCTGGTTTCTTCATGAATTATCAGCTGCTATCAGAGAGCAATTAGAAAGTCATCATATGACCTTTTTCCTGCATTGAGAGGCATTCAAACAGGATTAGATAATGGGTTCAGGATTTATCTGAAGTGAATGGTGTCAATGTGTGGAGCTTAAAAGCATCTCTTCTGTTCAGTTGAACCTGGGGAACAGAATATATCCCTGCAAGCCCATTCAGCATGGTTGAAGTGGGTAATATGCATGACATGCTCTGACATCTCACAAGAACAGTGATCTCAAGAAAATTTCTGCTCATGAGATCATAGTAATTTTTGAGAGCCTTTGCCTCTGATTATAATGTTTCTGTCTGAAGATTTAGCTCCACAGTGACACAGTCAGGATCTGGAAGGCCAAATCTTAATCACACAGGTAGCTTACTGATCCAATTAACATTAACACATTCTCCACACATTCACTTAAAAAATTTTATTTGGTAAGATTTGACCAATTATTTTATGAGAAGTTTGCTCTTTAAAATTCTTGGAGCCTTCAGTTCTTACTAACTCCTTTTTGTAGAAACGTGATAGACTAAAGTTTCAGAATCCCTCCTGTATATTTAAACTTAAGGTTTTCGTTTGAAACCATGTCCCTTCACAGCATGTCCAATCAGATTCACAATAATTCCCACGTTTCCGGCAATAAAACACTGCATTATTGCTATCAACAAATTGCTACGACTGGGTTTTCTCCTACTATCAATTCCATGCAGAACCAAACTTGAACTCCGTTCAGTAAGTTTAAACAAACTCAGCCCTTAATTAAAGACTAATAAGTTCTGGCCATGCCCGAACTATTCCATACTTTACGGCATGTAAGCTGTGGCTATTTCCCATAAATCTCATTAATGTCACATGTAAGTGTGTTCTACAATAATTAACTCTAACAAATAAAGATGGACCTAAAAAAATTTAATTTCCATAAATACTTATTTTCCTAATGATAATTTGATCAGGATCCATATTCAACGGAGAAATCCATTTTTTGGGTAAATTATGTTTCATCTAGAATACTTATCTGATCACAGGCTTGTTTGCTTACTTTTATGCACGTTTTTTTTTTTTTAAATTTTTTGTGCCCATTTTTCCTCACTTGATTGCATTCTCATTTATTTATTTGGCACTATACAGCTGTAATTCCCATCCAACCTACTGACACTTAATTCATAATGTTGTGCTCAGTTCGAAACTAGTGCCATCTATCATTGGCAAGGGGAGGTAATGGGCAAGAGTTATTCTACCTTGTCTATATAATGTAGACTGGACGATGAATTTTTGTCTTTGACAGGGCTGGATTTGAGAAGTAGTAGAGCTTATATTCCTAACATGAATGTGACCAGGTAAGTATTTCCAGGAGGTGCATAATTAACAGAAAAAAATTTGCTTTCTTTTATTGAAGGATTAAACACAACAAAAATTAGTAAAAAAAAAAAAAAAAAAGAATGATATATTGTAAAAATGATGTGCAAATGCATAGATCAAGAGAAACCAGCATACCTTATGTTCTAAGTTGAGTTCAGCTGCAAACAAAATGGACTCTGTTCTTTTAATCATGATATTAATCCATATCAGGGTCTATGTTGTTTGTTTTACTGATTACTTGAAACAAACAGTAGATATAGATATACTGTCACATTATGTGACAGCAGATATGGGTCTATGCAGTTTGTACTTGGACTTGTCTTATAGATGAGTATATATTGTATACCTAATACAACTATGTGTCTGCCTTTATACTTCCTCTAGAAATCTCACACAGTGGAGTCATTGCATGATGGAGTGTTAAATGGTATTGCTAAATTCCCCATAAAAAGCCCCTGAGCTCTTTCCACCTGTAATATTTTAGAGTTTCCTCCCCACATTAATGAGGTGTTGACTACCTGCCATGTCAAATTGTCTGGACTTTTGTTTGAAGGAACCTCATGCAGAAAGAAATTCACTTTCATGCCTTCCCTGGAAATTGAGAATAGTCAATCACAGTTTTTATTGGGAGTTTGCTGTATAACCCAATATTAATATCACCTCTGTGTTTTTTATCTGTTAACTTAGACTGCCTTGTGTACAATGCTTAATGATCACAAAATCTGTTATGTGGTTTCATATATATTTTTTTGATTGTGTAGAGCACAGTTTCTTTCATAGTAACATTTAAAATTGATTTTTTTGGTCCATTTAATTTTATTGTGGTAACAGGGAGGTACAAGTAACTGCAGTGTGGCTGTGAAAGGAATCAGCTCTAATGAGACTTCTTCATGGTCAAACATATAGTGGTTTAATCTTTTATTGCCTGTAACAAGTGTAGGAAGGAGATACAGTCAGTAAAGACTACTTCTCTGTTTAATATTGTAAGGAGGATTCTGAATCAGAAAATCATCGGAACTGGACTGAAGAATGAGAGAGCTGTTTAATACAAACAAAGTTCTGTTATAGGATTACTGGTAAATCAAACAGTGATTCTATTAGCTTTTAATGGATTTAGCACCTATGTTGCTCATGTAAATGAGTTGCTTATTGTGAAAATATGCATGCGCATTTTTTCTGTAAAGAATTGTTTTTTTTTTTAAAAAAAAACTGAAAGAAGATAGCTGTACACTAATGAGGTATTTGCATTGATGTGATTCAAATTTGGATAAATATTCAAGGAATGTGTTCAGCATGTAGAACTGTAGCTTACAGCTGACATATAATTTATATCAGGTAACTTTTACAGTAGTTAATATTTGCTTTTTCTACAGGCCAGATAAGATCGCACTCATTAAAATTGCAAGAAGTTTATACTTTCTGAAGCTAATAATTTAAACTAGTGACCTAAAAATGTAATCCACACAAATATCCAGTCATGAAATTGTATTGATGATCTGAATACAATATTGTATGCAGTTTTCTGTGTATATTTTTGAGGTGTATAAAAAATCAGAGGTAAAGATATTATAATTTTTAGGTGATTCTTATGTACACAGATCAGTGTATATCACTCCCTCACTATATTGCTATTTGTTATAATACGTGTTTTAAGCAAGTGTGGTCATTGATCCAATATCATCAAGTGACAGTAAAATTATATGAATCATGTATTTTATCATTATGTTGTCTCACTTTAAGGCTGTATACTGCATCTCATAGTGTTATAATGAGGGCATGCTGTATGTATAATGTACTTTATTATAAAAATCTCATGCTTATGCCCATGGACAAGATGATAACGACGGAATACACTATCATGTACTTCATTATAAGGCAATCTCACAATAAAGTAGCATACTCTGTGACTCATGGATGGAGTGTTGTATGTAACAGGTACTTCATTTTTAGGCAGTCTCTGTAGAAAGTGGAATATTGTGTGCCTCCAGTGCACAGCATTATATTGAGGGACTTCTGTATCATGTACTTCATTTAAATACCGTTTTAATATAAGTAATACCATACCTTTTGCTATTGCATAGTTGGCTCTTTGCTGGGTAGAAAGTACCCCGACTGTATGACAAGAATTTGTCCTCACGTTCAGGTGAACCAGATGATTCCACAAAACTGGATTATCCTTAGGATACCCAATAGACATGTCCATGTATACTGCCATTCTTTTTCTTATCTCATATATGTGAAGTCCTGTAGACTCTTAATTAATCCCTATGAACATTTGGGTAAAGTTTCCTTTGAGAACCTTACTCTAAAGTTGATTTTCTTGCTTTCTTTAGCATTTGAAAAACAAAGGAATGAGCTTCATATGCTATCAATAGAACAGGACTGTTTTGCCAACCAGATACTTTGGCAGAACAAAAATAGATTCCATTGGATCCGCTCAGGTGGCTTAGTGGTTAGAGCATCTGCTTCAGATGCTGGAAGTCGCAGGTTTGATCCCAGGCCTATTCATACCAAAGACTTTAAAAACTGTAGTAACAGCTGCCTCGCTTGGCGTTCAGCATTAAGAGGTTAGTATTAGGACTGGTCAGTCTGGTATCAGGATAATGTGACTGGGTTGGACATCATGCCACATGTCTGCAGCATGATGCCCCAATGCTAGACATCACTGTAAAATGTATTATTGCAGACATAGTAGTGATATGACTGAAAAATTGTTAAAAGCTATATTAAAAATCTAAATCTCACACACACACACACACACACACACACACACACACACACACACACACACACACACACACACACACACACACACAGATTCCATTAGTTGGTCTACTCTTGCTTGGGATCCCCTATCCCTGTCACGTTATATCTGTGTTGCAGATGATCAAGATAGATTTTGGTGTCCAGTAAGGGCTTTATGTTTTTATTTGGCAGACTTTGAAGCAGCAGTTCCCAGAATTAGGTCAAGTCCTAAATCAGGGTCATGGAGTGTCCCCAGTAGGTTGTCATGAGCCTGAGGCCATGTTGGTGGCCATTTTAAGGTTGCAGCAAACACTTATTGGGAACCCTTGCCCTAATAGGTGAAGAAAAGGTGGAAAACATCTTTTCTTCCTTACTAATAGGGACTTTACTTAAATAAAAAATTAAATGACATGATGTTTGCACCATTCATGGGCCTATCTAACTATTGAGGATATGAAGAAAGCTGTGTTTTGGCACTCATAAACTGTTTTCCTTGTTTGCCTTCACTTTGTTAGCTTACCAAAGCAAAGACATTTTTTTTTTCCTTTTCCTTGGGCCCAATCCTTGGTACTCAGAAAGTGGCCCATGCTGATTCCATCCCTAAATAGGTCCATGCTGATTCCATCCCTAAATAGGTCCATGCTGATCCATCCCTAAATAGGTCCATGCTGATTCCATCCCTAAATAGGTCCATGCTGATTCCATCCCTAAATAGGTCCATGCTGATTCCATCCCTAAATAGGTCCATGCTGATTCCATCCCTATATAGGTCCATGCTGATTCCATCCCTAAATAGTCTCCTGCTCCTCAATGAGATGTATTCCTTGTGTTTACTTTTGTTTGTTAATTGTGGAATTATCAACCTCCCACCAAGCTGACAAATTCAGCTATACAATAAGCAACAGATATGGTATTACTTCTATTAAAATTTAGTATTGGGGAGGGTAAAACTACTTTTAATGATGTAATACTTACCTGTTGCTTTTGCCAGATTCTGTCCTCCCACCCCTCACTGATGCCCACAAAGTTAGGCTGGATCCTATCAAAAGAAAGAAGGGTAGTACATAGTACATAGGGGAAATATGTTGGGGGGGTGTCCCAGGGGCAATCCTGTGTTCTTGAATCTTCTGGCAATCTGTAATGGGAGGACAGATTGATTCTTGTCATGTAGTTGGGGCATTTTCCACCTGGACAAGTATTAGCTATGCAAGAGCAACAGGTAAGTATTTCATCATTAAAATTACTAACCTCCCCTTCAACTACATATTGCACTGACAGCATTATAATGAGGGAATATACTATACCATATACTTAATTATAAAGCAGTCTCACAATAAAGTTGTATACTTGGCTCAAAAGGACATTATTAAAATGAGGTAGTGCTTAATTTGTGAAATCATTGTAAAAACTTTAAAATTTATTATGGCAAAATTGGTAATTAATGAATTTTGAGATATTGCTTGAATAAATAAAATCCCAAAATGTACATTATAATTTCCATTTATACTTAAAAGTCCTAAGATGTAAATTATAATTTCCATCTCTTCCTAAAAGTCCAAAATGTATGTTATAATTTTTATTTCTAGTTCGGTTTTGTGTCTGGATTTTAGACTTTTTGGCCTCAGATCTAAAACCTCCAGGGGTTAATGGGTTAAAGGTCATAAAAATGTACATTTTAATGTCCATTTCTACTTAAAAGTCCAGATATTTGACACGAGTTTTAATGAATACAGAAAATAAGAAAACAATTTTCATCATTAATAGGACCTTTATTAATCCGTTAAATAGTCTGAGCTTAATACCAGCATTTCTACTTTGTCAACCATATGATCTAATTAAAACAAAAAAATTAAAACCTGTCTGTGTGTATACAAATAAAGTTGTGGGTATAATGATTAAGTACTGGTTTCAGTTCATCCAGAATACAAAAATTAAAAAATTTGCAGTGGACCCCCCTCAAACTAACAGACCAAAAAAAAAGGACATCAGTTTATTTTGTTCTCTATGATTTTGTAAAATAAATTTAAAGATAATTTAGAAAATTAAAGGCTGTATCTCATCTCAGGAAATGACTTTTAATAGGAAAATAATTTACAGATAACATATGGTGTGTTGTAAAGGGTGTCACTATTCGGATTTCCTTCTGCATGGAGCAGCAAGAATTAGCTTTGATTTCGGTGTTTTATATTGAGTTAATTTAATTCAATGCCTCAGTCCACCAGAATACTGGGATACTTTTTAAGGAATAAAATTATTGTGCTTGCTAGGTCATTTTTTTCATGGATGAATACAAGATCCTTTAAACATACCTTATGTACTCACTTGGAATTCGAATCCAACAACATGGACCATTATTAGCTGTCACATAATGAGCTGGCAGGTCAGGGTCTGTCTTGCTTTTTGGTTATTTTTTCAGCTTATTAATTCTGACAACTGCATAGGTCTGGGTTTGTGCAGTTTACAGTTGGACTCATATGCAAGTTTATACAATGCATCCTTTGGTTACAAATTAGCTGTGATGGTGGTCTTCCCTGAAGACTCCATGCATGCAATTGTTAATACTATATGAACACTTCATTTATTTTCAGTTGCACTTATTTTGTCATGATTTACCTTATTAAATGTGTAAAAATAGCCTCTTTGTATGCCATAGAAGATTTAGATGGTCAATATTCATACTTTTCTAGCTTACTCACTTGGAAAGCGATTGATATAACAAATTTATTTCACCCTAGTGGTATATCCTAAATACATACATATTAATCCAATTCGCACATAAAATGTGCCTGCTAGTATATAAGGCAGAGGTACTTTCTAATGATATGGTGACTTAAATGAAAGCTCAAAATTTTCAGTAAGTTCCAGTAGAAGTACATTTTGTTCAATAAATTTGATGAGTATTTATTTGTGGACTTTTAATTGTGTGAAGATAGTTATTGGGGATATTGGTTGGAATTAAGTGTTTTGTATCAGCATACACATTTTATAGCATTTATGTATTGCCTGTTTGCTTGAAATGCATATAGTTTGAAACTACATATAATTATATGGTATTGATTTAAGCAAGTATATATTATACAAATATGATTTCATAATAATAGGATAGTGATTTTAAAGCTCAATAAATATTAAATAAGTATAAATTTGTAAGCCAAAAGTTGTATATTTTAGTCGGACAATACATATAATAACATGTACACAACATTATTTACGAAATGATTTGTGTATATATATATATATATATATATATATATATATATATATATATATATATATATATATATATATATATATATACTGGTAGCATACACCTGTGCAAAGCAGATATTGTTATTTTTTTTAAATTTTAGATATTTCCATGGGATTTACTTAAGTGTGAATTTACTTTTCACAACACACTGTGTCTGCCTGTAGATAATAGCTTTTGGAAATTATCTGCACTGCATGGAATCAGGCTGAGGAAGTTTACCATATGATTGATCAAAGTGCTGTGGATATTGATTAATTGGGTCTAATGAATCAATGAGTGAAGTATATGTGCTTGGTACTTGTGTGCCATTCCCTGATGAGGACTGTTGCCTTGATATTGTGTTTTTATAGAAAATGAATTTTAGCAAAGTTAAAGAAGACATGAAAAACAAATCAAAAATACCACTTTTTGGTAAATCAACAAAGACAAAACACCAAGCAGCAAGTAAACTCCAGAGTAAAACTGCTCATATAGACAATACAAATAGTTCAACAAGTACAAAAGACTGCTTTTCCTTGATTGAGAAAAAGAAGTTTAATTTACCACTACCTGAAGGTAAGACATGGCAATTTTTATATTTAATTTTGTTGTTATGATTTTACATGGCCATTTTGTTGTATTTGTTTTAAGAAGTACTTGTGTTGGCACAGTTATCATTTTCATGACCTGTATTATGTAATTATATCTATATGCTTATATCTCTACACTCAGTTATGTCACATATTTTGAACATTCATCACCAGTAAAAATTTTTGTTTGACAAGCATAATAATCAACTTTTAAAGATTGCTAAATTTAAAACACTGATTTTCAGAAGTTTTAATTATGCATGGTTTGCCCAGTGCATTGAATTTGACCTAACAGAACCTACATCACACATTTAAAGAATCCTTATGAGGACATAGAAGATTATAAGTGCACAACAACATTGTCAGAAACAGTGTCCCGGTCACAGGTATTTACATTCTAAGAGTTATTTTCCTTTATTTTGTGTGCACTCTGACACTGCATTCCATCTCCTAATATTGTTGCAATGAATAAAGTACATGTAACATCTCTTTGTGGGACTGATTTATCATACAAAGTTAAGTGGAAACAAGATGATAGCAAGGAAGATGTTCAGTTCAAGAAAATCACAATGTTTTAGGTTATCTGATGTGGTTTATAGATCATATTAGGAACATATACTTTCCCTGCAAGTTTTATGGGCATGTATTGCATTGAATGTTGTAATATTGTTATTGTTGTATTATTGTTATCTACATAGCCTTGTGCAATTACCTGCTTAATTTCATGCTTCGTATGTATATTTAATTTGTGTTGTTTGATTGACTTTAGTCCATAATTGAGGGTAAAAGTTTGGGCCTTCATGCTAAATTTTATGTAGGGTAAATATGTTGACTAATTTTGAGTTCTAGAAACAGCATTCATTCTGACTTTATAATTATCTAACAACAAATTTTATTTATAGTTCAATTGAAAATTCCATTGTAAATGACTTGGGTCCATGTAA